TTACATTTAGGTCTCTGATCCATTTAGATTTAATTTTTGTGTATGGGGATAGATAGTGGTCTTGTTTGAATCTTCTGCATGTGTTCAGACAGTTTTCCCAGCACCATTTACTGAATAGGTTCTTCTCTCCCCAGTGGTAGGTGGTGGAGGATTTGTCGAAAATGAGTTGGTTGAGAAATTGAGGTTTTGCTTCTGGAATCTCAATTCTATCCCATTGGTCTATATGCCTGTTCCTGTACCAATACCAAGCTGTCTTGATTATTGTATCTTTATAGTGAAGTTTGAAGTCTGGTAATGTGATACCTCCTGCTTTTTTATTTATTTATTTATTTTTGCTGAGGATTGTTCTGGTTATTCTTGGTCATTTGTGTTTCCATATGAATTCCTGTATTGTTTTTTCTAGGTCTGAGAAGAATGTTGCTGGTAATTTGATGGGTATTGCATTAAATCTGTAGATTGCCTTAGGTAAGAAGAACATCTTCACAATGTTGATTCTTCCAATCCATGAGCATGGGATATTTTTCCACTTGTTTGTGTCATCTTTGATTTCTTTGAGCAGTGTTTTATAGTTTTCATCGTAAAGGTCTTTCACGTTTCTGGTTAGGAAGATGCCAAGGTATTTCTTTTTTTGGTGGTTATTGTGAATGGAATTGTGCTTTTTATTTGGGTTTCTGTTTGTTTATTATTGGTGTAAAGAAATGAAGTTGTCTTTTGCACTTTTATTTTATTTAATTAATTAATTTATTTTTTTGAGTTGGAGTCTTACTCTGTCACCTAGACTGGAATGCAGTGGCGGCTCTCAGCCACCGCAGCCTCGACCTGCTGGGCTCTGGTGATCCTTCTGCCTCAGCCTTCCAAGTAACTGGAACTACAGGCGCGTACTACCACGCCTTCATTTTGATTTATTGTAGAGATGAGGTCTCACCAAGTTGCCCAGGCGGGTCTCGAATCCGCGGGCTCAGACAATCCACTCACCTCAGCCTCCCAAAGGCACAGGATTACAGGCTGAGCCACCAAGCCTGGCTGCACATTTATTTTATACCCTGAGACTTTTCCAAAGTCCTTTATCAGTGCAAGGAGGTTTTTGACAGATTCTCTTGGGGTTTCAAGGTACACAATCATGTCGTCTGCAAAGAGAGATAACTTGACTTCCTCTTTTCCTATTTGGATACGCCTGATTGCCTTCTCTTCTCTGATTGCTCTAGCCAGGACTTCCAATACTATATTGAACAGGAAGGGTGAGAGTGGGCATCCTTGTCTTGTTCCAGTTTTCAAGGGAAATGGTTCCGATTTTTGTCCGATTAGAAGTATGGTGGCTGTGGGTTTTCGTAGATGGCTTTTACTATTTTGAGGTATGTTCCACGTATGCCTAGATGTTCGAGGGTTTTTGTCAAGAAGGGGTGCTGTATTTTATCAAAAGCTTTTTCTGCATCTGATGATATAATCATGTGGGGTTTTTTTTGACATCTGTTGATGTATTTAATTACATTTATGGTTTTTTTTGTTTTTTGTTTTTTGTTTGGAGTCTCACTCTGTCACCTAGACTGGAGTGTACTGGCCGCTCCCGGCCACCGCAGCTTTGACCTGCTGGGCTCCGGCAATCCCTCCGCCTCAGCCTTCCAAGTAGCTGGAACTACAGGCGCGTGCTCCCACACCCGGCTGATTTTTTTATTTATTTAGAGATGAGGTCTCGTCAAGTTGCCCAGGCGGGTCTCGAACCCGCAGGTCAGTCAGTCCACTCACCTCAGCCTCCCAAAGGTGCGGGATTACAGGCTGAGCCACCGAGCCCGACTACATTTATGGTTTTACAAATGTTAAACCAGCCTTGCGTCCCAGGGATGGATGATTTTTGAGATGTGTTGTTGAATCCGGTTTGCTAGGATCTTGTTGAGAATTTTAGCATCTATGTTCATCAAAGATATTCGCCTGTAGTTATCTTTCTTTGTTGGGTTACCTCACTGTTTCTATGAAAAGTTTTCTTTTATTAAAAGTGGTTGATTAACTCTTTTATATGTATAATGTAAATATACCATTGGACTAAAAATATTTTATATTAAACTTTATTATTTACACGAGATTTCACTTTTATAAAAGATAATTTTATGGTAGTACTCTTCAAATATTGTATTACTAAATTTGCTTTTTCAAAGTTTTTAATAAAAATTTATCTACAAGATAATTTCCATGATCATGAGAAATGAGTAAGCTCCCACTTTGACATATCTGTCTTCATTTTTAAGTAATTAAATGTTGCAAGAAGACTAGTACACAATTAGGGCAGTTTAAAGAAATTTTTAATGTGTATCACTGGTTAATTAACTTATTTTTACTTATTTTACATTAGATTAAACATATTTTACATTAGATGTAATTTTATTATTTGTATACTTTTGGTGGTAAAGTTCATGTTTAAAATTGAACTTACTCTATTTCTTTTAAAAATGAACTTTTAATTAATATTTTCTATATAGTAGATCTTCTGTTCATTAGCAAAGGAAAGAATATTGATTTTTTTACTCATCATTGTTTTAAAAAGTCATATTGTGCCTTTGACAGTATGCATTATTTCATGAGAATATATAGATATTCATTTAAACATATATTTGCCATTTTTTCTTAAACGTTCTGTGTTCCATGCTTCTGGATGTGGAGACTATATTACCTTAGTTGGAAAATATTACTGTTTTTTAAAAAAATATTGGCTTTTTAATTTTTTTGACTTTCTAGGAATTTTTTTTCTTAGTGTTTTCTTTATACTCCTTGATACCAAGGACTGATATTCCTTTCTTTAATATATTAAGAATACCAACAGAAGGCAGTCAACTTTTGCTTTGTCTAGTATATGTACACAGAACAAGAGCCCACGCTTTTGTGCAGAATGCTTCACCAAGACTGCATTAACACCACCGAAGTGCTTCCAAATCCCAGTCATTTTACTGAATCATGTGGATGAGATCTATAAGCTAGGTTTTATGTATGGTTTCCCTCAGTTGTACTGACAATTAATACGGTTTTGAAATTAAAAAAAATACTAATCATGCTGTCCCACTGTTATAGGCAAAATACTAGTATATCCTTAGTAACTTGATTAGTTTGCCCCAATTAGTTTGCCTTCTCTTTTTTACATGAAATGAATATGTATAGTGAACCATTTCTGTGTGTCATTTATAATACCCAGAAATCATGTTATAGTGCCTCTGGAAAACTCATTCACTGGCAATCAGGTTATAGATGATTACTGTCAAAATAATTCCGTTGACCTGTAGTATTTTTCTGTCATTATAAAAATGAATGCTTATTTTGTGTAATCTTTTAAAAGTTTTATAGTGGAGGGTTGTATATATTAGAGAGGTAATATGTGTGTTTAAATATATGTATTCATATACATATGTGTTCTATAATGGACTTCAAGTCTTCTGAGCAAAACATTCATTTTATTTTAAAAGTGCTCTGCTGTGTCTTATAGGTTTGGTGGCTATATAAAACCAGCAATCAGTATGAGTTTAATGAAATAAGTTTAATTATGTAAACATCATGTAGGAATATTTGAAATTAAAGTGGTTTTGGAAGATTTAGTTGTCATAAAGACAATAATTCTGAAAATATTTTTATAAATGCTTGAAGTATGAAAGTTCAAGTTCTAAGTTTGATCACAAATTTTAAAACATATAAACAAAATGAAGAAATGCATAATTTATTTGAATGTCCATGTCATTATTTTTAGCATTTGACTGCAGATTCCTAGATGACAGGGAGATCGCATTCACCTTTGGATCACTTAGCTGCCTACCTAGCACATTGCCTGGCTCATAGTTGATGCTCAATAAATGAATCTGTTGGCTCTAACAATTATTTTTAACTTGAATTGCATGTTAAACATCAGCTGTTTTTAATACCTCTTATATATGGCATAAAAATTTTGTCAAGACAAGTAATGTGAAATATTTGCTGCCCTTGTGAAACTAGCCGTTGGTCTAGTGTAATCAGGAAACGTGAGTCGAAAACCAGACTCAGGCATTGAAACACAATGTGTGACCTTAAGAAAATTGTTTAATCCAATTACAGTTATCTTTTTGTCAAATAGATGAACAAATAAATAATTTAATTTTGTTAATGTTGAAATTTAAAGTATAGTCCTGGATTCAAATTCTGAAAATTTCATGCACGTTTTTTGAACTTTAAAGATTATTTTTTAAAAATAGACATAGGACAACATAAAGCTTTGAAATGTAAACTGAGAAATGTAGGCTAAGAAAATATTGTTTTACCAACTATCATTGAGGTATGCCTTCCAAAATTGTGTAAAAACACAGCTTTGAGGTAGAAAAATTCAAATGATTATAATAAATGATTCTTTTTCATTACACATAAAGTCTTTGCCAATGTCTAGTGTGTTTCTTTCCATTTGAGGAAGAAATGACTAAATTTTACCTTTTATGCTTGCAGAATTTGTCCCAGTAGACAATAATTATTATTGTATTATCTAGTGGTAATTTGAATTAAGTAAATTAGAATTTTATAAAAATGAATAGAACCTTAATATAAAAATACATGCAAGACATCCTGCTGCCTATGTGTTATAGCAAACAAACACCAAAGATATATTATGTACATGCTGCTAAGCTTGGTAACATGTTTCGTTCTGTAACAATTATATGTTTTATACTTATTATCAGTTAATGGGATTATTTGAATTCCCTGAAGAGGTGTTTATTTTCAAAACTGCAACAAATACAGAGAAAATTAGTATGTCTCTACACGTGCTCAAATATTTGAAGAAACTGATATTGTCTGAGGTCATAAATGATGTTCAGCTATTTTCAGTGGTTCTGAGAGTTTTCCAAGCCAGATTATTCCAGCCTCCAGATTACAACAGTTTACTCTGTTGTCAGACTTGATGTAGAACTTCTAAGTATTTCTGTATTTTGTGTTTGCAAAGTCTTGTAGAAATTATGGCAAACTATATGATTTCTCTGTTTACTGTGTCTTCTTTCTACTAGCTCCAGTGGCTTTTGGACAATTATGAGACAGCAGAAGGAGTGAGCCTTCCCAGAAGCACTCTGTACAACCACTACCTTCGACACTGTCAGGAACACAAACTGGACCCAGTAAATGCTGCCTCTTTTGGGAAACTAATAAGGTCAATTTTTATGGGGCTACGAACCAGGAGATTGGGCACTAGGTTAGTACTGAAAAATAAGTTCAGAAAAATCTTTCTTGTACTAGAGCAGTTCAGTATATTGTTTAAGCAAAGTACTTGACTACAGGTAATATATAAAAAATAATTATAGAATGAGTTTAGTTTTTAAAATCCCCAGGAAAAGAAAAGGTCATTGTTCAATGAATGTTGGCAAGCCAGAATGGTCAACTGAGCAACGTTTTGAAACAGCTGAGTCTCAAACTATATAAAAAGTTAACAGACCTACCTGTTAGTGCAAGATTTGCATCAACCATTATACTCTGTTTTTGAAAACAATCATACTAAAGATGAGTAAAAAAATACGAAGTACCATAGTAAATGGAAAACTATATATTTCTTAACTCTTACAAAATTACATTTAATTGTTATTATAAATAACTACTTGAATAGTATAAGAAATTAAAGCTGAGTTATTCATTTCATATCTGGAGGCCAGTTAAAAACAATTTGGTGAACTCACAGAATATTTTTGCCCTATTTTGCTCCTATTATCCTTTTATTCCTGCTTTTCATGTGAAGCCATACATACGTAGAAGTAAAAATATAGTTCAATTGATTGGAAATCATTAATGTGAAGAAGAAACTTTCAGTTTTTCTTTTTTTCTTCCTTTGGATAAATATGAATGTTTTTCATAACCAGAATATGATGACAAGAATACTTAGAACTGTGGGGTTTCATTTGTCTTTCCATATTTCTATAAATTACCCTAACATAAATATTTCAAATAGCTGGGCAGAAGTATAGGAACACTTTTGATTTCTTAAATCTTACAAAACTCATATTAAAGGTAATAAAATAGAGATGCTACACTATATAACATTAGGCGATAGACCTATAATTAGCTATAAGTCACTTGAATAGAGTAAGAAAAATTTAATAGATTTATACCAAAAAGAGGAGTGAGTGTTGTAAGGGAGAAAAGTTTTTTTTTTCCTCACCCATCACAAGGCTCATGGCTAAAACCCCTATAACAAAAGACAGATTAATAAGAGAAAAAGCATATACATTTATTTAATATAAGTTTTACATATCAGGGAGCCTTCAGAAATGAAGACCCAAAGAAACTGAGAAAAATGTGTATATTTTAAACTGTCTGATGAGGAAGTAGATAGTTTGGAAGAAATATGATTAGACATAAAGGAGTACGATCTAAGGGTAATAAACTGGGGGAACTCAGCAAGTCCTATTTGTTCAGATTCTTTTGTGTCCCTCTATCTTCAGAAATAAGGACATTTCTTTCTGCCAAGTCTATATAGGTAGTATTCCTCTGGAATGAGAGTCTCATGACCTTTTTTTCAGGGTAAGGTAAACTAGGCTTTATGGCCCGCTTCAGAGAAGGGATAAGGAGAATTTTTTTCTAGTTTCTGTGGCCTGCTTCTGCTGTTTCCTCAAATGCCAAGGTATTTATTTTGGGGGAGCATGTCCTAAATCCCTTCACCATGTCAGTGTTATGAGATTTACAAGGACTAATGTATTCAAAGTGTGAACTATTCCTTTCTTGTTGCATTTTAAGTGATTGTACAGCTTTTAGATTGCTGGAGGTTCAGCCGTCTCATAAATATATTTTCTTCTATCTATACTTCAAAAAGTAGTATATTTTAAACTGGAGAATGTGATTGTCTATTCACACTAAAGGAATAGCTTTCATTCCCTTGGAAAAAAAAAAGTTTTTTGTTTCTCTAGTATTTTTTTTTCCAAAACCACAAACATCATTATTTAGGGACCTAACCTACTATCTCCTAGCTGATGGCTCAGTAGTTATGCATACCATGCCAATATTTTGAAACTCTGGGCTTTATTCAACATTCTAATAGCTGTATTGTTGTACTTCTTTTGTTACAGAAAGAGATTTCAATGGGTCCTATTTTGAGGCTCCATTCAAACCTTGAAACACATCTTTAAAATAGAAAGACACAAAATTGGGGTTGTTTGGGTTTGTGAATGAGTAGAATCCATACTCTCTAAGTACATATTGCAATATTGCAGCTTTTACTTTCTGATGTTCTCCACCCCCCACCAGTATATAGCAATTACATCTCTTGTTCCATTTAAAATTGTATGTAGTGTTTGCGATTAGGGTTTTGAAGAAAAGCCTAGAAGAATAAGAGATAATAAATACTATGGGGAATTTAAACAAATGAAGTGTTATGAAGGTAGAACTCTAATATAGAAAAACTGACAATGGTAGGGATGAGGTCTCAGAGTTTCTTTCTATCATGGAAACTATTTTAAGCATTTACTTTCTACTGTTAATCCAAGGAACAGAAGGAAAATGAATATAAATCATGAGGCAAACTAAATCAGATACTTTTTTTTAAAGAAGTGAACTGTGTGTAGAACTATTATTATCCGTCAATAAAATTATCTGAAGAAACCATTTGAACCAGAACCAGATCTTTTGTAAAGTTATTGGACCAAAGTAAGCAAAAAGTAAATAAAATCACTGTGTTTTAAACAAAGGCAAACCAGAAGGTACCTTTTGTTAGATTCTATCTCCAAATTAAATTTGAGTAAACAGACCATGGATATGCTTCTTTCGCCCAACAATTCCCAATGAAATAAAAAGAACCACTCCCTCCCAACCCAACCTGAATGCTAATTTGAAAGAAACTAGACATCCATCTATTTGGCATCTCACAAAAGAAAAATCGTTTTACTCTGTATTTCTGTCTGATAATTGTCTCCTGCTTCCTGCCCTACCTACACCAACTACTGTCTCTAGTTTGTATAGGAGAGTATTACAAAATTGAGTTTGTGGTATTTTTTGTTTTTGTTTATTGCTCCATTCTGCAGTGGATTTTGGAGACAGGATTTAGTCTCGGCAAATGGAAGTTCTTTCTTTATAGACATTAGTTTTTGTAACTGCTTTATTTTGCTGAAAGCTTGTAGGTATTCAGATGTCCTACTTTTTAAAAAAAAACTAGCAATATTTTTATATTTTAAAGTCTTTTCAAATATGTTGGGTTCATTTAATATGTTTTTTAATCTTGGAAGTAGAATTCTCTTCTATTTTTACAAAAAATATTTAATCCACACTTCTCTTGCATTTCTTTTTGTAAATGAAAGAAAAACTTGGAAAGAGGAATGATGTTTTGCTATATATAGACTTGTGAAAAACTACTATTTTCTCTTTGCAAGAATTTACATATTTAACATGTTATTTTTGCAAAAATTTGCAAATTTCATTCAAAACAAAACTTTGTTATTTCTAATAGCAAACATAGTCTTTCTCATGAATGTGGGAAAATTGTGACATTTTTATTTCAGGTGGAAATTTGCCATTTTCATAGAGAAATTTCCTCATGTCTGTTGTGACACATCTTATTCAGCCTGAAAAACTGACATAAATCCATAAAAACTAAAACTAATGGAATATGTTTCAAAATCTATAGATTAAAGGCTTACCTCTTATTTTAGTTTTCAAAATATTAAATAAGTCTTCACCACAACATCCTTTAGCTAACAATGAAGTTATCTACTCCATCAGCCCTGAAGTAAAAAGAAAATGTTAAACTTATCCAGGACATTAGAATTAAGACTTTTGTCTTTGTTCTGTACAGTCACTTTACAATAAATACATATTTAGTAGACCTTCCCCTTTATTCTGCTAATTAATTTTTATTGGCTCAAAACTTTTTCCCACTATTACTCTTTCTAAATTAAATTTAAAATAGAAATTTTAAAAACGACATGTAACTTGAGTGGAACCAGTAGGCTGTTTGACTAATATTTAATTGAAAATTTGCAAGAAAATATTTTTCTTAGGACCTTGAGCTGATTGATTTAGAGTCTTACTTTGATTTTTCAAATGTTGTCATCTTTAAAACATACAATTATCCAGAACAGGTAAATCATAAGTATGCATGCTGCTTTTACCTAATTTTTCCAGATGTGCTGTTAAATGTGTGCTCCATGCGATTAATATTAGTTTGATTGACTTTTGTTGACAGTGTTTATTGTTTTTTTATGAAGGGGAAACTCCAAGTACCATTACTATGGGATTCGTGTCAAGCCAGATTCCCCTCTTAATCGTCTGCAAGAAGACATGCAGTATATGGCTATGAGACAACAACCCATGCAGCAGAAACAAAGGTAGACTCTGGCATTATCATTAATACGTCAAAGCTGTGTATTTTTTAATTGTTTGGGTCTCCTTTTTTCTGAACAGATACCTAAGTACAAAAGAATGTTGTTACTGTTGGCATGCTTTCACTATGGATAGCTCTAAAGTATGATTTAGAATTTCAGTAATCCTGTTTTCCAAATTTTAAAAAATTACTTATCAGTCAGCCTGTTTGGCCCCTTTTAAGTGTGACATCCCAAACTGTTCAGTCAGAGAAATGAAACAAGAAACATAAGATGCATACCCAAGCAAATATCAACTGGAGAAACTTGTTTCAGTATTCATGAGCTTCTGACTTGCTATTCTGCACACCCCTCAAGTCATTCTTTTTGACATAGTATGAATTCCTGCTGTATATTTGGGACTTCTTATATTTTCTTTGAATCTAACTTTCATAGATGTAGAATTGATGCTGTTAGAGCTGTAAGAGATCTCAAGCATTCATGAATGTATGGTTAGTTGAATGGATGATGGATGGATGGATGGATGGATGGATGAATGACTAGAATCATATATCTTAGCAGTGAAAAATACCTCAGTCTAGTCTGGCCTCCCAACCTTATTACAATCAAAACATTGTAACTCTGTTTTTCAAATGAATCTCTGAGAGGTTAAATGATTTGCATAAGTTCATAATATTGTTGCATAACCAAGGGTCTTCTTGTCCCATGTGGCTTAGTCACGATTTGGAGTAATAAAATGAAAAATTCTTCCCTCTTTACCAGCATAGCTCAGCCGTGATAGTAGTTACGATTTTTCTTTTCAACTGAACATGCAGAATTAGGTAGGAGGAAGGAAGCCTCTGCTTAGGTCCTAATCCATTGATCTGGAATGACTAGTTTCATTGGCCAGATCTATACTATCCATACTAGCTTAGTTAGAAGCATTGGCTTCTGAATATGTCAAAATATATCAAATATATGCCAAACAGTATATGTTTGACAATATGTCAAATCTTCAAATACTTTTAACCTACATCCAGACCCATGGAAAGAATATGTTAAATAGTAGTCTTTTATCGATCTAGTCAGCAATCACTAATTGAGTCTCTGCATTGTACTAGACACTGCATTCAGAGATATAGTTTCTACTTTTAAGGAGTTAAGAAATTAGAAGGGGAAGCACTTGGACAATTAAAAAGTAGGAAATGTAATCTGAGAAATTCTAAAACCCAGCTTTGATCAAGGAACTATCATAATACGAGGAATTTTCAGCAAGCTCTGTGAGAGGAAAGATTGGAGAGCTTCATCAAGAAAGTGCTATTTGAGTAGGGACTTAAAGGAGTCATTAAAACAAGAGGACTATTCGGGTGGAGGGAAAATGCACCTAGGGGTAAACTCCATGATGTCTTGGGAGATAGTCCATGATTTGGTGAGTTTGATATTGTGGAAGGAGAATTGAGAAGATGGTTTAGTAGTCTACTAGGAGATAAGATTTAAAAGGTAGTTTGGATCATATATTAAGTGATTTGCTTGCATATAAAGCTAATAAGTTTTGAGTTTTGTGCAGAACATAGCATTGAAGCTATGTCCAGCTTTGAAGCAAAGCAGTGAAACTTTGCTTTTTTTTCTAGAGAGGTGACTTTTTTTGTTTGGGGCAAGATATATTTAATGGAAAGAGATTGGAGGTAAGGATACTTGTTAAGTGGCTTTAACAATCATAATTTCCAATGTAAGTTTTCCAGACTGAAGATTCAGTTCAAGATTGACTGTGATATAAAGGTATTTTATGGCTTTTAGAATTTTTTTAGTCACAGATTCTCAATCTTAATTTTTATTTTATTTTATTTTTTTTGAGTGAGAGTCACATTCTGTCGCCCAGACTGGAGTGCAGTGGCCTCTCCTGGCCACTGCAGCCTCGACCTGCTGGGCTCCGGCAATCCTTCCGCCTCAGCCTTCCAAGTAGCTGGAACTACAGGCGCACGCTACCACACCCGACTAATTTTTTGATTTATTGTAGAGATGAGGTCTCACTGCCCAGGCGGGTCTTGAACCTGCAGGCTCAGGCAATCCGCTCACCTCAGCCTCCCAAAGGTGCGGGATTGATTACAGGCTGAGCCACCGAGCCCGACTAGTCTTAATTTTTAAATTGCTGATTCTTGTTTGCTTATGTGTAGCTAGTAAAACATAATAAGAAGGATTCTGAAAAAAACTAATAAAATAAATCATAGAATAGTACCGTATGCAGTTGGATATAGAGTTTGTGCGAGTTGTAATAAATTGTTATTGTTTGGGGTTATGATTGTTTCTTCCATCTGTTAGTGGCAACACTTATAGCTTTTACTGTCTGGTGTGATCTCTGCACTCATGCATAGCTGCACTACCCAGTGGAGATAATGGTAAATGAAGAAAAAGAAAAAAGTCTGCTTCAGGAATAACGTAACTCAAACTTAATTAAGAATAAAAACTTGATAAATTGTACCTATGACAGGTGAAGTCTGCTTCTTGTGATTTAACTGCAAGAAATTCTAGCAAGCTTTCATATAAATGAAAACCTTCAGGGGTCTTTATAAAAAGCCTGAGTTAGGTAAGCAAGACCCAGGCCTTTCTGTGATGTCCTCATGAAACAGATTCCAGAGCTATAAAGGTTAACGAGCCGTGAAAACTCCTACAATCTCAATAGAGTGGTAATTGCTTTTGTAAACAGATATAATATGAAGGTATTTAAGAAATGATATAAAATCCTCAGTAATATTAATAAATTCTGCCAATGTTAGTTTTTTAGATTTTGATTCTTATTTCTTGTGAAGCAAGAGTGTTAGGGAACCAAAGACATACTGAACCTGCCTTTAATTTGTTGAGTTTTTAAAATGATACAAGTTTTGGATTATGGATAGTTGGTTCTGAAATGGTATCTGGACAGGAGAGGAGTTTCTTTCCGTGGGTCTAGAAGTAGGTTAAAAGTATCTGTTGAAAATGATGAGAAAATAACTTTTTTTTCATTTGTTTTATGACTTACAAAATCTTAGAGATGATGATTCCAAAACTCAAATGATTATACTTGAATATATTGAAATTTATATAAGAGACTAACATGCTCTTATTAGAATACAAGTGATGCCTCATCAACAAGGGTACCTGCATAATCAACATTTGTATACCTAACCCTGAATTACCCCACATCTTTAATATTAAAAAAAATAAGTAATGGCTGGGCATGGTGGCTCAAGCCTGTAAACCTCAGCACTTTGGGAGGCCGAGGAGAGGATTGCCTGAGCCCGTGGATTCGAGACCAGCCTGGGCAACATGGTGAGACCTCATTTCTACAATAAATTTAAAAATTAGCCAGGTGTGATAGTGTGCGCCTGTAGGTCCAGCTATTTGTCAGGCTGAGGCAGAAGGATCACCAGAGCCTAGCAAGTCGACACTGGGGTGGCCATGAGCGTACACTGCACTCTAGCCTGGGCGATGGAATAAGACTTCTACTCAAAAAAAAAAAAAAAATACAAGTGGTGTGAAAGGCTTAAGATATTTTACAGCAGGTACTAGTATTTAATATTTCAGAATATTTAAACTGTTAAAATACCTCAAGTTTTATTGTACCTCTTTTCTGACGAATTTGAAATTATAGTAGTTGTAGAGGGAATAATGATCATTGTTTTTTATTAAGCTTGAAAATTCCTGAACTTCTTTATGTAAAGTATCTCACTTTGATAGAATTGATAGGGTAGTAGAGGAAATTTCCACTTACCTACAAATCAGATTCTCAGCAACATCACCATGTGGAACATAGCCATGAGGCTGAAAATAAATGGAAGCAGCTTCTGATTGGAAAGTAGATGATACAGGCCTGTAATTTCACTTAATTGAAAAGATGAAGCCATCCTCAAGCCATTGACCTAAAATAAAGGAGCAGACTATTATAGCCTACTTGATTCGCAGACAATCATGGAACAAGATATCTGGCAAGGAGAAATATAGGTAGACAGGGTCTCCTGTTTACATTTGAGTTATTCAATACAGCAGTGTATGGACATTTATGGTGGAACAAATGGACCTAGACACTCCAGTAGGTCCTTTGAGTATCATTCTAGTGACTAGAATCTAGTCTAACACAATATACTAAATGCTTTGTGTATTGATGACATTATGGGTAATCAAGACAAGATAAAATACCCTGGTTAAGGAGGAAGGAGAATGTATAATAGTGTTTTTTTTTAAATGTCTTCTATTGAAAATATTTCATATGAAAATAATTTCTGCACTGAAATGAGGTAATCTTCAGTTTTCAAGGAAATTCACTCATGCTTACCCTATTTTAGACAGTAAATAAATTAATTTCTTATAGAGCAAAAAGGAGATACAAATTTTCACCTCTCCAACTAAGTAAAAATGTTTGCTGCAGTTAATTTTTAATATTGAAAAGAAGTACATAGAAAGTATTGGCACAAGTATTTTAGTTATTCTTCCAAATCCCAGAAGCAAAAGTGGTGGAATAGAGCCAATTACTTTTGATAGTGTGCTTGACTGTGCTTGATCCAAGTAGCCATTCTCAAAATATTAAACTGCCTTTATCATTTCTTTAACAAATACATATCACTATTTGCACAGAGTGTGTGCATTACATCTAGAAGAGATATTACAGAATCATAGACTGTTAGAACTAGAAGGGAGAGATTACTTAGTTCAACCCATCCTCTTGATGAAAAAACTTGAGTCCATAAAGGGTAGATAATTTATCCAAAATCAAGTAGTAACCAGGACAAGAACCCAGACGTCTTGTCTTTATTTTTATAAGAATAACACCCTCAAAGAGATAAGATAACCCAGACATAAAATTTTTACATATGACATTAAAATGTGATTTCAATGAATGTGTTTCAAATAAGTAAGGAAATGTGCCACTTCCTGCCTCTTTGCATGGTCTCTTCACAGCAGTTGGATTCTATGAAAGTATGAACCTTTGTGTCACTGAAGGGAGGGAAAGAGGTCAATGGAAATATGGTATAGCAAGGCTGCTTTTGCTTTGG